TGCACGAAATATTTTCGTGACGACTTAACGCTTGTCTTTGAGGACGCGCAGTGTTTCAATTCTATTTCAGAACCATCCTCAGAGATAGGAAAACTAGTTTCATATTAATCTAATATGAAACTAGTTTTGACGACTTAACGCTTGTCTTTGAGGACGCGCAGTGTTTCAATTCTATTTCAAAACCATCCTCAGAGATAGGAAAACTAGTTTCATATTAATCTAATATGAAACTAGTTTTCCTATCTCTGAGGATGGTTCTGAAATAGAATTGAAACACTGCGCGTCCTCAAAGACAAGCGTTAAGTCGTCACGAAAATATTTCGTGCACTTAAATTGGATAAGACTCGCTACCAATCCCTGTTGACTCGATAGCTCAATAGGTAGAGCGGCGGTCTAGATACCCGAAGATGCGAGTTCAAATCCCGCTCGAGCCAACGAATTTTTCGTTGCTCGATTGCAGTGTCAGATTAATACCAAAATTATATCGCATTTGAAGTTTCAAACTGAGTTAAAAATAGTGGAAGAAAAGCCGTAATTATACTTATTGTTACAATCCATTTAATAAAATGCAACATTTTTTGTTTTAATGAAAAAATCAGTTATTTTCATGAGAATGATTTGTTATTCCATCTTCATTTTTTTAATCTCCAATCGCAATAACGTAAAGTATTATTACCCGCGAACCAATGAGTCAAATTTAAGAAACAACCCACTGTTAGAAAGCTGAATGGCTACGCTTTAAAATGAATGTAAACTTTAACGTTTACGTCTATTATTTGTTTAGCAATTTACATTTCAGTCGAGGATTGCGCTTTTTTTGATACACCCTGTAGATCTGTCATAAAATCATTAAACAAGTTATCGTGTAAAACGTTTTCTGAAAATAATGATTTGGGAGAAAAGTAATTCGCACTAGAGCCAATTTTCAGACCAATTAATTTTTAGTGGTATATCCGCACTAAAAATGCGACGTCAAGCGTGCGTTTGAACCAATTGTTCTTAACTTTGCGCACGTTGTATAGGCGTTGTAGGTCTTGCTATTGTTGGCTATGTTATTCTTTATCTATCTGGCTACATTCGACGAAAATTTAATGGAAATTGAATAATCGAGTAATGGTAGATCTCGAGCTCCCAAAACGCGTGCCAAGGATATCCTGTAACCTTAAAACATGCATGCACTACTCTCGTCTCTCTTATGTATAGGCAAAACAGGAGGGACTGAAAAAAATAGATTCTTAGCATTGGGCACTTCAATCCATTCCATCGCGACCTGCATTCTTCTTTTTATTGACCTCGTGCCCAAAATAATTCCCAGGATCCCTCAATAATCATACCTCGAACTAGTGATGGGCGATACCAGGATTTTTAATTCGATACCGATACCGATACTTTTAAGATCGGTATCGGCCGATACCGATACCTATTTCGATACCAAAATAAACACAAAATTTCAATTTTCGATACCGGAAGTGAGTACTTAAATTGCTAGTATTGGCTACTTTCGATACCTGCCGGTCAGCGGAAAAACATTTTGCATTACTGTATGTAACCTAAATAAAGCTATAAGTAAATCAAAAGCCCTAAACATAATAAATATTTTCTATACCTGACTTGGCACACCGAATTTGGAATATTAAGGGTTATTTTAGTGGTTTATTAAATCTTATTCAACCAAGAAGTGAAATTAAATAAGTAGTTTAAAAAAGGGTGCAAGTATCGAACGATACCACGTCAGTAATCGATACCGATACCGCTGTTTGTGGTATCGCTGGTATCGAATACCAAGTACTCGGTATCGCCCATCACTACCTCGAACCAATCAAGCGCTCCATGCATGCATAAGCGTTACATGCTATTTATGTAAGAAAAAAGTGCAGAAAGAGTGAATAATGTTCTTGGCTTCTTTTCTTAATATTCCATTTCGCCAGAAGAACACAATGCAATTAAGAACCGAGGCAGCAAGAACAGATGTGCACTTCCAGGGATTAAAAAGAACTATCGCGAATGTGTTTTTTTCTAACCCGCCTTCTATAGCAGACGGCAGGTAACAAAACACTGTGCAGAACAAAATCAACAAGCACGATTTCGCTTCTCGTACGCCGTGTAAAAAAGACTTGCTTTGTTGTACGTGCGAGGATTGCACACCGCTAGTGAAGCCAATTCTTCGTCTTTTATAAACAGCCACGGAGATTTTAATGTGGATGAAAGCAAGTGCTATCAATGTTAACAGTATGAAGATAGTCACAAATAAGGTCGCGGCACGTTCGCTGACGTGAAATGCAAAAAGGTATGATCGTGAGATTGAAATCATTACTGTGATGCAAAGGATTTTAAGTACGCGTCTGTTTGTGATTTTTGTTTTATGGAAAATGGGGTACATTATGGACAAGTATATTTCAAAATTTAAAACAACAAATATCGTGAAAGATATTGCCGGTATGAGATCGATTGTTACTTGTTTCAGTGCACTGCCAAAACAATCCTCCATTTCATAAATTTCTCTGCCCAGATGAAACAGAAATATTGATTCAACAATAATCCCAACAGCTAAGTCGTTAGCAGATAAAACCATGACAAGAAACAACGTTGTCTTGCGTTTCAGTTGCGATGATTTGCATAGGGCGTGGACGGCCAAGTAGTTAAGAAATATGGTTAGAAGTGCTTGGATGACATTGAAGATAAAACAAATCAGGTGGCTCATATAATATGTCCAGGAAGGAAATCGAGCAACAAATGCAGACTCGACATTTTGCCAAACGCAGTTCTCGGTGTAGGAATAATCCGCAGCTGGGTTTATCGCTGTTGTCATTTTAATTTCCGTAAACAAAATTTGAGCCTTAGATGTGGCGTTTTCTTCGATATGTAACCGTTTCTTAGAATATCTTCTCTTGATATGACAGCTTCGTGCGATCAATATAATCTTACTTTACACGACTCAGATTCAGAAATTGTGATGAAAGTTCAGCTGGGTATTATTAATGACACGTCTTGAATTTGTTGACAACGCCCAATAACAATGACAGTAATAAACTAAAAATTAGAATAACAATACACTGTATGTCCACTCAATTAAGTTGTCTCTTGTTAATATTTATTTTAATATTCTTGTCTTACAATATTAATAAAAAAAAATTATGCATACATCCAGATCCATTGTCCACTGCAGTAAAAGAAGCAGAAATATTCGTTTATAATTGCCGCATTATTTTCTCCATATTTTAAAACTCTTGAAAAACGAGGGAGTAATAAGACTTATTAATAGGACAGAGTGTAAACATGTTGACGGCGTTGATAGGTCGCGGTCGTATGTAACGATTTAATCAAAAACGTTTACGGAAACCGTGGGAACGAGCATGTTTGGAATTTCCGAGAACGGTGATATAATTTTTTCCCAAGTAAAAATATTTACTAAACTTACAACTCGTTCGGTCAGTTAGTTTTCACAGTAAATGGCGATGACATGCAGGATGACATAAAAACGATACGTCATCGTTTCTTGTCACTGTGTAATTCACTTTTTTGTCCCCCAATCAGGAATAAACGTTGCATGGGGGCAATGATTGATATTCTAATAAATTCTGACCGCTGCAATAATTAAGGCGCAAGTATGTAATAAACAGGTTGTCATAATTGGGACGAGACAATATCAGTTTTATTGTTTTCAGAACGATATATCATAAATATCCCTCGTTCGCTGCGCACACTCGTGGAATTTGCATGTACAAATACTGTGAACTATCCCTCTATTAAACGGCCGCCTCTATTAAGCGGCCGCGGCCACCCAAAGAGCGGTTCCAAATGATGTTTTATGTCAATTTTTACCTCTATTAAGCGGCCAGGATTTTTAGGTTTAGATATAGGTAATGAGAACCATATTGATGTGCTAGAGTAGTAATAAATTTATGCGACAATAGTCCCTAAATGTTTGTTCAAAAAAAGGTTTAGTGTGAAATATGATAGTGTGATGGCCTCGTGTTATTGCCACAATGCATGCCTGTGAAAAAATTTTATAGTAGATGAAACTGAGAATTAAAGATAAAAGCATCAAGCGGTAAACTATCCCACATGCTTCAAAAAGTGATATTCTATATTAGGGAAATTCTAAACCCCCAAAATTAGACTTCAAAATGCAATGCATGAATCTCGATCAAAATAGCTTTACGATATGCTCGATACGTTTACACATAAAATCGATAACTAGGGAATAATTTTGTTCTTAATTTAATTAAGAAATTATTTCTTTGTTTGAGATCATGGTTCTTGTTTATATTTAAAGTTGTCTTTTTGTTTGTATATTCCAAGGCCGTCGGAAGAAGGGGGGGGGGGGCCTTAAGCCACCTTCCCACAATAATTTCCAGTTGTATAAGCAAATCACACAGAAGAATTAGAAAAGTGCGAAAGCAATTCAGATTTATTCTTGAGCCCCAATAATATACTTCCGACGGATATGGTGGAAAATTAATTTTTTTCTCAAATTAACATTATTTTTCTTGGCGCAAGAATTAATTTTTAAGATTATAAATCTTTTTTGAAAAGGGATATAGCTATATAATCGTCAGCCATGAAATATTATCGCTTTTTCAGTTTTCTTCTCTCGCAAGTTTTACAATGTAAAAATATATTGTTTTAAGATAATTTACCTAACTGCAAGGTTACGTTTTTGTACAACATGTATAGCTAGTGACCTTTAAGTAACACATTTTAAGTAACAAACTATCCAAACTATAACATGATTTGAACTTTAAAAATTAATCAACAATTATGATGTAAAATGATTACTAATAAAAAATGTTTGAAAGTCTGCAACTTTAATTACGGTACGACATACCACAGTAGTGAACTCTCCTTATAAATTATGCCAGAAAATGGTTGATCGACATCGTTATGAATAATTCATGACTCGGTTCATCTTTAAATAAATATATCTTCCTAATGAATTTTTCTCAGATTTTAATAAATCTTGCTAAGATTTTAATAAGCTATTTTTTCTATACTGTGATCTTCCCTGCTGGCAGAGGTCTCTAATTGTGCTGGGAACTTGAAGGAGAAGAGACCTCTGCCTAGATCCAACACGTTTTCTGTCGCGCATGTGCAAGAATTGCCATGACAATGAGTGATTTTCACCACGTGATATCAAGCCGGTTTTTGCGGGAGCAACTGGTAATTCAAAGACTTACCGTGGTTTGAAGGCAAACAAATGTATCTCGACCCGATAAAACAGAAAAGATTGCTTTCTTTTGTTCTTCTGTCACTGCTTTCACAGTTTCATCTTTGAAAATATCAATTACATAACTTAGAGCACTTCAAACAACATGAAGAATCTCGAAATGACCACGCTGTCCAAGCCGCCATTTTGACACTACGGGCTCAATATGTCATTACAGCGTAATTAAGCTCTGAGCATGCGTACTATTTGTTTCTCTAAACCGGTTTCAGAACTTGTTTTACAAACTGGTTTGACTCGTCCACGATCATGGACTGAGGAAGTGTAGGATCTAAGCAGAGGTCTCTTCTCCTTCGAGTTCCCAGCACAAAAAGAGACATCTGCCAGCAGGGAAACTCTGATCATGATCAGTTATAATTTAATTCAAGAATAACTTTCTTACATAGAAAAGTTGCAAAGTTACGTACATGACAAAATCTTGGTAAGACTTTTGTTGATAAGATGTTGTTTCTTAAATCAAGAATATTTTTCTTGTTTGCAGCAATCTTGACAAGAAAAATTTTGTTACGTACGGGAGAAGATGTTTTTTATTTTAGGGACAAATTTGCTTGAAACAAGATTTTTTTCTTAATTAAAATAAGCTTTTAATTTTTTGCAGTGAAGGTATCGGAAAACATGGAGGAAAAGTATAGGTAGTTTACTAGTTATATCCGTAAAAAGTTGAAATGAATAAGCAACAAGCCAATAGATTAATAATAAGGTTTTGAAACAGAACTGACTAT